TACAATTATAGATTTTTTAAAGCAATCTTTCTCCCACTGTTTACATTTCTATGGACCAAAACTGGTCACACAATATCTTTCAGTGCCACGGATGGCTTGAGGTTGGTCTACTACAATACTTTGTAGAAAGGCAATTTTTTAAATCATTAGTCAGACTCCAAAGTGTAATGAACTACTTTTAGCTTTACTTTAGCATTTTCATTTTACAAAAACCAGCTGCCCCCTTACATACCTAAACAGAAACAAAGAGACTGCTATGGCTACAGATACAAAATTGCACTCAGGAGCAATTCTCCAAGGTGCAAACACTCAACTGAGCTAGAAAGTAATGCAACCATTAAGGTACCAAGAAAAGGACAGAAGAACTGAAGTCCACTAACTGCACACCAAGAATCCCCTTTCTGCTAAGGCCCAAAACATCCTCCTTTAATTCTTTGATTGCACAATTCACAGAGGTCACTGGAGCCTCTAGTCAAGCCCACATTAGGGCTCCAGTCCTGAATACATTCTTTGTAGTCACAGTCAGAATAGGCATTATTAACATGTTTGTCAAATATACATTTAAAAACCGAATGTCAACAGTGACACAACATTGTTCAAAGATTTGTTGATAATACTGACCATTCACATAGCACTTTTAGAGGGTATGACATGCACTATCCAAATCTTTCATACAACAGTCTTGTAAGGTTGATCAGTATTATTGTTGAGAGAGGCTGAGAGGCACTGGTGTGCTGAAGACCTCCTAGTGGGTCCACAGCAGAGCTAAGATTTGACATATGAACTTCCCAGTTCTCTTTCTTATTGTAATGCCTAAAAATTAACAACACAAGGCCTGCTGAAGGTTTTAGTCTTTAAAATCAAGCTTATATGTTCCAATATTGTCCCAAAATACAGGCATTCAGCTCCCACCAAAATCAAAGGAATTTATAGCAGTTTTAATGGCCAAGTGTCTTGTTAATACCCCCTTTGAAAATTAGGTTGTGGCCATGATCCATAATACCTGTCTCCCCATGCGGACTATCCCTTTACTTACAGAAGAGTAACCCCTATATCATGGTTCCCTCCCTCGGATTTCAAGCTCAGTCATTACTGAGTGTTAGTAAAAGTTTTTAGTTTCTCTTTCAATATGTATAAGAAAATTGACACTGCAAGGCATTGCCAGCTTTGATTTGAGAAGCCCAACAGTAAAAGCCCCTTGAAAGAAAAGAGATAGTATAGTATACATCACATGCTTAAAAAGAACATCCTTATTCCCAGAAATCTACTGTCTACTAAGAACCTACCTCCAGCCAGGTCATAAACAGCAAAGTACAGTCAACAATTTTATTCCAGTTACACTATCCCCCCCAAAAGACAATCCCAGCCATAACATTATCTTGGAACAGTCTGTCAGAGAATAACATAGATTGCTATGTAGATAGTAAATCATGGCAAAGAAATCAAGCAGTGCAGAAGTGAATGACATACACACCATGTCTTTCAGGAAGACATATTTTTATTGCTCTGCTCCAGGACAGGCTTGTCTGAATCCCAAATTCATCACCACTGAAAACATAGGAAACTTTCGGTTGATTTTCAAAATATGGTTAGCAGCCAATACTTAGAGTTTAACTGCAATTATTAAGTAGAAAGTTTCAAAAAGCAGTGCAAAGTGTTAAGGGACGCCTAGAAAGCACAAACGAAAATGCAACAGAGCACATCAACTGTTCTTTTAAAGAACAACTCTGGAAAGAAAGCCTTTTATTTACATATCCATGCTTGTCACTTGTCAGAGTAGATAAAAATGTTACAGTTGCTCTGCAGGTGATGTGGATTCAAAGGTGTAAAACCACTGGACCAATGAATGGGATCTTCACACATCACATCTTGTTATAGAAGAGGTAAGTACTATTCATCAAAACTCTACAAGGGAAAACATGCAGGTACACTAACATTTCTAAAATTACTTTGCCTTTTGGAGCAAAAGGAAGTATTGATTCAAGATGCATTTTAAAACACACACTTTGTAATAAAACCCTGAAACGACTGCAGGAAGTTGTTTAGTCCACACAAAACAGATTGCTCTCCAATACAGTTGCAAACAGTCACGTGATATCTCATATAATAGTGGTTTTATGTTTTAAATTCATACAATTCACAACTTTGCCTCGGAAAACCTTCTTTATTTTTATTTTATGTAAAGAGCAGTAGTCAAAATAAGAATCTAATTAATGTAATGGAGAAAGTCATCATGCACAACCTAGCCAAGGGTCAGATGAGCCTAAAACCAGTGGCTTTCAATGTGGTTAAGTGTGCTTAATTTTGAGTGTATTATCCCCAGGTGTATTTAGTTAGACATATTTTCATATATATTTTTCAATTAAATATATATGTGCACATGATTAGAGGTTCTCTCAACTTTGGAGTTGACTGCTACAAGATTTTCACACCCAGTCAGAGGTACGTGTTAATGGGTTGCAAATTAGCAGAATTTTTTAAAAAATTAACAGGCAAAGTATCTAAAAGTGTGGAAGGGAACTTTCAACCATTGTTTCTAATCCTGCCTTTCTGAGGATGTATTTAAATGTTTCCCAGTGGATTTCACTTTTGCTGACATAGCAAGGATGAATTAATTCAACAAGTCCACCATTAATCTTGTACTCCACAACACTCTTCCATGCTGTGTAGGGCAAGAAAAGGTTACCTTGGACTCTCTGCTTGAAAAGAATGATAATTCTACCAAAATATAACTTCATGATCTGATTTAAGCAGAGATTTTAAAACTATTTTCAGTTGTATGTGTCCATCCTGTGGCTGCACACTACACAGGAGAGTGAGCAGAGCTGAACACACCATTTCTAGTACAAATCACACTGGAGTCCAAGGACGAGGTTTTTGTTTTCTGTTCATGCAAGAGAATAACATGCAACCCTTCCCTATCATTTAGTCTGCAAAAGTGTTTGGGAAGACCGGGAACGCCATTCTGCACTCAAGATTCAGACTAGTCTTGTCTCTCTCTGCCCTCTCTAAATTCCAGCACCGCGTAATAAATCCCTTCTCATTCACTGGCACGGTAAACATTTCAACACCCTTCAAGTCGTGGCTGTAATGCAGGAGGGAATGAGCCAATCAATATACCTTTCGAATGCAGGGAAACTGTTTCCCTCTCGAGGACAGGGAAACGTGCAAATGCGTGGCTGGTAGGGTGAGGCTGCCACGGCGCCTTAAATACATGCTCTGCGCGGCGGGGTAGCGGCAGAAGCAGTCGAAGGTACGGCAGGGGAAAGGGTGAAGCCCTCGAGGCTCCCGGCTCCTGCGGCTCCTGCCTTCTATGCCCCCCCCCCAAGAAAAGAAACTCTTCGATTTGGTTCCACCCGGTCCTGCTGCACACAGCTTTGTGCTCCCCTCCAAAGGCGGCATCGAAGCCATCGGAATGGCAACGCTCGGCCTGAGCCGGGGGGGGGGGCATCCCCCCACCTTCAAACTCTGCGGACTTTTCTCCATGTTAGGAAGGAAGCGGCACTCCTCCCCCCCTTCCGCATAAAATGGAAGCGTCCACGACCAGAGCGAGAGACCTCGTCGACCAGTTCTGGGGTGGAAATGCTTGCAGACGTGCGAGAGAGAGAGAGATATAGAGAGAGGGCACCCTCTCCCCCCACCCCCCGGGCAGGGCTACGGCAATCGGCACGGCTGACTTGGCAACTTTGAGCACAACTACATCTCGGGGGGGGGGGCAAGAGGAAGCCGCTCGCATCCCCCCTCCCCCCGCTCCGGAGGCGGCTTT